TGGGGATGGTAGAGGAAAGTGGGGTCTGGGGGCTGGGAAAGGTGGGAGTGGGAGCCAGGGGCTCTCAGGGTCAAGGAAAAGCTGAGTCTGGGGTCTGGGAGGGGCGGGATGGCTGGAATGGAGGTTCGGGGGGTCTTGCTGCCACATAGGGGAGTGTAGGAAGGTTCCTATTTGCAGGAATAGGGGTTCAGGGGTGTCCAGTGCCCAGGAATGCAGGTCCTGGGCAGTCCTAGTGCTGGATCAGGGGGTGCAGGGGGATCCCTGTGCCTGGAAATGGAGATTCAGGGGGATCCCCGTGAGCAGGAATGGGTGTTCAAGGGGGGGGTTCCCTTCCCAGGAAGGGGGTTCAGGGGGACTCCCAGTCCCAGGAATGGGGGTTCAGGGGGAGTTCCCTTCCCAGGAAGGGGGTTCAGGGAGTCGTGGTGCAGGATAAGAGCATTTAGGAAAGTCCAGGTGCTGGGGGAGGGAGTGCAGGATGGTCCCAGTGCCCAGGAATTGCAGTTCAGGGGGTCCCTGTGCCAGGGATGGAAATTCAGGGGGTCCCTATGCCAGGAATGGAAGTTCACGGGGGGTCCTGTGCCAGGCAATGGAAGTTCAGGGGGGTTCCTGTGCCAGGAATGGAAGTTCAGGGGGTCCCTGTGCCCAGGAATTGCCATCGAGGGCGTTCCCAGTGCCTGGGACCCCCTGCAGGAAGCACAGGGAGGGGAGAACTGGGGGGGTCCCAGAGATTGGCGGGTCTGGGGGGGCCAAAGGTCAAGGAAGCAGAACTGGGAGAGCTGGGAGAGACGGGAAAGGTCCAAGGTTCAAGGAAAGGAGGGGCTGGGACTGGGAGAAGTGGGATAGGGGATCCAGGGCATCCTTGTGCCAGGAAAGGGGGGTCCAGTGGTCCCCAGTGTTGAGGAAAGTGGGGTCTGGGAAAGGCAGGAATGGGGGTCCAAGGGGTCCCAGGGTGAAGGAAAAGGGAGGATCAGGGGGCTGGGAGAGGTGGGATTGCCAGGAAAAGGGGCACAGGGGGGTATTTGTTGAGGATAAGGGGGTTCAGAGGGGTCCTGGAGCCGGGGATGGGGGTGCAGCGGGTCCAGGTGCAGGATCAGGGTGTTAAGGGGGGCCCCAGTGCCAGGAATGGGGGTCCAGAGGTGTCTCTGTGATGGATTAGGGGGTGCAGGGGGATCCCTGTGCCAGAAATGGGGGTTCAGGGGTGTCTTGGTGCCAGATTAGGTGGTTTGGGGGGTCCCAGCTCTGTGGGATGGGGTGCAGGGGGGGTCCAAGTGCCCGGGAATGGAGGTGGGGGGGATTCCCATGCCTGGGAATGGGGGTTCAGGGGCGTCTCAGTGGCCAGGAATGGGGGTTCAGGGGGTTTCTTTGCCCAGGAATGGGTGTTTAGAGGGGTCCCAGTACT